AATTAAGGGATGAGAAAGAGAAGGACACGGGGTGCAGAAGGAAGGGAAAGAAAAATGGGGTAAATTATGTCACATGAAGAGGCGCAAAAAACCTATTACAGTGGAAGGAAAGATGGAAGGGTGGACAATAAGCATGGCTTGAACCTTGCTCTCATCAGTACTGGCTCAAAGAGGGAATAGTATACACGATCTGTTGAACACAGAAATCTATCTTACTGGGCAGGAAAGCAGGAGAGGATGAGATCAAGTAAAGGGGGTAGGGTAGGGACTGACAGAAGAGAGGGCAGACCAGAGAAGGCAGTAGACAGAAGCAAAAACTGTCGAGGAAGGAAAGGGTAAAAGGAGAGAGAGGACAAACAGGAGATAAATAGGATGGAGGGAAATACACAGTAATCATAACTGTGAATGTGAATAAGATGAACTCTCCCATAAAATGGAGGCAGATAGCAGATTGGAACAAGAACTAGAGTCCTACAATATGATGTTTACAAGAAACACACTTGAAGCAGAGAGACATACACAGAGTAAAGGTAAGGGTCTGGAGCAGAATCTATTATGCTTCAACTGAAGTTAAAAAAAGTCAGAGGAGCAATACTGATCTCAGAAAAAGCAAAAGCAAAAATAGATCTAATTAAAAGAGATAAGGAAGAAAACTACCATAGACAATGAAGTAATATCAATACTAAACATATATGGACCAAGTGGCACAGCATCCAAATTCTTAAAGGAGAAACTAAGTAAGTTACAGGCTGGGAAAACTGGAAAATAGGGCACAAACTAGGTAAAGACCAACATCTCACACCATATATCAAGATAAGGTCAAAATGGGTACAAGATTTAGACATGAAGGGTGACACCAAAAGCAAATCAGAAGAGCAAGGAATACCTGTCAGATCAATGGAGAAGGGAAGAATTCATGACCAAATGAGATAGAGAGCATTATGACATGTAAATAAATAATTTTGATTATATTAAATTAAAAAGCTTTTGTACAAACAAAACCAATACAACCAAGATCAGAAGGAAAGCAGAAAGCTGGGAAATAATCTTTACAGCAAGTATCTCTGACAAAGGCTCTCAAATATAAAGAGAATTGAGTCAAATTTATAAGAATACAAGCCATTCCCCAAATGATAAATGGTCAAAGGATATGAACAGGCAGATGAAGAAATCAAAGTTACCTCTAGGCATATGAAGTAGTACTCTAAATCACTTTTGATTAGAGAAATGCAAATTAAAACAACTCTCAGGTATCGCCTCACACCTATCAGATTGGCTAATATGACAAAAAAGGAAAATGATAAATATTGGAGAGGACGTGGGAAAATTGGGATACTAATGCACTGTTGGTGGAGTTGTGAACTGATCCAACCATCCTGGAAAGCAATTTGAAATTAAGTCCAAAGGGTAACCAAACTGTGCATATCCTTTCATCCAGCAATACCACTGCTAGGTCTGTATAAAAAAGGAGAAAGGACCTATATGTGCAAAAATATTTATAGCAGCCCTTTTTGTGGTAACAAAATATTGGAAATGGAGGGTATGTTCATCAATTATGGAATGGCTGAACAAGCTGTGGTAAATGAATGTAATGGAATATTATTGCACAATAAGAAATGATGAACAGGCAGATTTCAGAAAAATCTGGAAAGACTTGTATGAACTGATGAAAAGTGAAATGAGCAAAACCAGGAAAACATTATACATAACATCAGCAACACTGTGTGACAATCAACTATGAAAGACTCAGCTCTTCTCACGAACACAATGATCCACGACAAGTACAAAGGACTCATGAAGGAAAATACTACCCATATCCAGATGGATAAGGACTCTGAATGCATACTGAAGCATATTTTTTTCACTTAACATTATTTTCTGTGCTTTTTTCCTTTTGATCTGTTTCTTCTTTCACAACTGTGACTAATATGGAAATATGTTTTACATGATAACACATGTATAACCTATATCAAATTACCTTCCATTTTAGGAAGAAGGGAGGGAGAAGGTGGGAGAAAAATTTGGAACTCAAAATCTTGTAAAAATGAATTGTTAAAATTTGTCTTGACATATATTGGAGAAAAAAATACGATTAAAAAAAGAAAAAATCTCCTATATACTTTGCCCTTCTTATTTTTCTTACCACTTACTCCTCAACCCCTTAGAATCTGACTTCTAACCTCACCATTTTACTGAAATTGTCCTATCCAAGGTTATGGATGGATGATCTCTGTTATAAAATCTGATGACAGTGTGTTCACTCTTCATCCTCCTCAGCCTTTCTGTAGTTTCCAACACTACTCCCTTCCCCTAGATACTTTCCATTCTTCAGCTTTCATAACATTACTCTTTCTTAGGCCTCCTCCTCCTAGTCTCCTTACCTATATCTTCTGTTTAGTCACCTCTTAATGTCCCACCAGGATTCCCTGCTCTCTACTTCCCCAGAAATCTCTTCATCCTGAAAGTTCACTTCAGTCGGAACTAAGACCTCAGAGTACCCTCTGCCCCTAGGACTTCTCTCCCTCTAATTAGACAGGTTCCTTCCAGAACTTCCATTTAAAAACCTGCACCCAGGTCTGCCATCTCTTCATTTCCCACCAGACTGAATTCTCCTGGATGTCTCCATCATGGCCCTATACCAGGTACTTTTTTTTTCCATCCCACCCCCTTTAACAACTTCTTTTACAAAGGGTTGTTTTCCCCATTAGAACTAAGCTCCTTAAAGTCAGGGACTGTCTTTCTTTTGTATTGTATTTCCAGAGGTTAGCACAATGCCTTACACACAGTAAGCACTTAAATATTTCATTGAATTATCATAGAAAAATTAGGATGATAACAGCACTAACCTCAAAGGATTATTTGAAACTGAAATAATACACTAGGTATAAAGCAATTTACAAATCTTAAAGCACTATATAAATGTGAGTTCATTATCTCCAACTCTCAAAAGTGTGGACATCTCCACCAAAACTCTGCCCTGAGATGACTTCTCTCTTGATATTCTCTCCTTAGGTGATTTTATCTGATTCCATGGGCTCAATTATGCAGATGACTCCCTCATCTATACACAAGGAATATAAAATACATATTTTATGTATAGAATATGATATATAAAATATAGAATGTGATATATAAAATATGTAAGTCATCAAGAAAGTGTATATATAATATCTCTCTGAAATCCTACATTTCTACTTGGACATCCTACCACATCTCAAACACAGCAAGTCCAAAATTAAATTTGTCATTTCAATCTAACAAATATTTATTGTATCTTACTATGTGTAAACATGGTGCTAGAATCTGAGAATACAAAAATAAAAACCAAACTGTTTCTGCCTTTGAGTAACTTACATCCAAAAGAAGGGATAACACATATAAATAGATAAGTCAACACAAGGTAATTTGAGCAAGGAAAGAAAATTAACACAAGTGTGACTTGGAAAGGTTCAGTGGAAGACATGGCATCTAAGCAGTGCCTTAAAGTAATCTAAAGATTCTGAGAGGCAAAAATTAGGAAAGAGAAGATTCCAAGCATAAGAAAACAATCTGTAAAAATGTAGGATGGCAGGAGATAAAATGTCAACTTCATAGAAAAGACAGCAGCCCAGTTTGTCTACAACACAAAAAGGGACTAGTGTAAAATAAGTCTTGAAAGAAAGGATTGAACCTAGTTTATGAATAGCTTTAAAAGACAACAAGGAATTTATATTTTGTCCACAAAGCAGTAGGAAGCCATCGAAGGCTTTTGACAAGGGAAATTATATGGTCAGGAATGTGCTTTAGGAGGATTATTTTGACAGTTATGAGGAAGATGGACTGGATCCTCTCCCCATAAACCATATTTAGATATAAGGGTGAAGTAGATGGACCAGTCAAAAATAACTGCTGATTAGGAAGATGGTGGCACCATCAAGAGAAATATAAGGAAGAATGAGTTTATGGGGGAAAGATCCAATCCAGCCTCCACACAACTACCAAAACAATCTTCCTGAGACATAGGTCCCATACCTAATCAAAAATCTCTAGGGTTCCCTATTGCCTCTAATATAAAATATTTATCCCTTAGCCTTGAATTTTCTTATTCTTATTCGTATTCTTACTCCAAACTATCTTCCTATCCTTACAATAGTAGGTGACTTCCTCTACATACTGTCCCTTGCCTTCTCCACATTTGCAAAGGCTACTCTCAATTCCTGTAATTCTTTCCCTCCTCATTTCTGTCTTTCAGGATTCTCATCTTCCTTCAAAATTCAGCTTAAATCTCACAATATACATATAGACATCCCTGATCCTCCCAGCTAAAAGTAGTCTCTCTCTCCTCAAATGGGGTAGTTAGGCGGCAAAGTGGACAGAGTGCCAGGCCTGAAGTCTGGAAGACTTATCTTCCTGAGTTCAAATCCAACCTTAGACACTAGCTGTGTGACCCTAGATAAGCCACTTAACTCTGTTTACCTTGGTTTCCTCATCTGTAAAACGAGCTGCAGCAGGAAATGGCAAATCACTCTAGTATCTTGCCAAGAAAACCCTACGTGGGGTCACAAAGAGTCAGACACAACTGAAAACAATTCAACAACCTACTTAAACATTCCTAAAACTCCCCTTTTGCAGATGGTTATTCTGATCCATTTACCTCCCTATCTTGAATTATATTTATCTGTGTGCATTTCAATGATACTCCCTCTAACCACAACTAGTTTACAAGTTCTCTGAAGGCAATGACTCATCTCTGAGACAGTTCAAAGTATCCCAGCATTTAGCACAGTGCCCTGATCATAGTTGGCACTTAATAAATGTTTGTTAAGTTAAATCAATTATAAATAATTAACTTTCTTACCAGAATGTAAAGACTGACCTGGAGTCACATTTTAAATTGTTACATATGTGCTAAAGGTATGTTTTTAAATAAAAAGATGGATATTTTCAATAAAATAACCCAGTGATGTAGAAATCTTTAAAAAAAAAATCAATTGCATTTTTCTTAAAATATTAACTCTTACCATGTATGGTGTCATAAATTGGAAACCATCCTGAGATTACTGTAGCAGCCTCACTATACAGTAAAGGATCAATATCAATATACACTTTGCCAATGGCATCATTTGCACTGTAAGTATCATGGTCAAGTACTGTAATCTGCAGAGGCTCATCTTGTAAATCTTCATCATCCACCTAGAATTATATCCCAACATGAAATATCAGAAGCCTTCAATTATGAAAAATAAAATATACAACAAGAGGACATGACATTTCTCATAATGCAAAGAGAAATTTTCTACCAAATTTCTAATGGAACTGTGAACACACAAATGGGACGTGATCACCATAAAATATGAACAATGCATAAAATACTTTTTCTTCATACATTCATGTTTTATTAATATCTATACATGGTATTCTATAATACATGCCTGGTTAACATTGCAATAAACACTATATAAATTAGCTAAAAAGATCAAAAAGATTTACTTAAAATTATCCAAAAGCAGAAAATTTAAAAAGGCAAATTTAGTTCATATCAAAATCCCCCATACCTAAATTCTTTAAAAAGAGAATTTCAAATATCTAAATTGAAAAAGGTCTTCACAGTCTATAATAATCAAGAAGCATATTACTGTAAAGGTGTGGAAGCTAGGAAAATCTATTTAGTGTAGAGGAAAGAGTAGTGACCTTAGAGTCAAGAGAGATCATTGGTTTCAAATCCCTCCCCCAATAATTATAAGCATCTGTAAAATGAGGATAGTAGGACCTCCCAAGTCTGTTATGAGGAAAATGTACAACAAAATAAAATACATAAAACACTTTGCTAACTTAAAGCACTTTACAAATGTCAGCTATTATTACTATTTATTAGCTGTACCAAAGCAAGAGCACTTCTTCCACAGAATTTGAATTAGAAGGACCTCAGAAGAGATAATTTCATTTACCTTCCTACTCATTGTAGAAATTTTTTCTACAACCCCAAACCTCTGCTTGGCTATTTCTAGTGACAGAAAGTCCACAGCTTTGCAAGGCAACCTGTTTCTTTTTCAGACAATTCTTAAGTGCTAGTTTGTCTTCAGAAATAGTATAATGGGTAGAGAAGATGACTTCACAGCCTTGATATCAGGAAGATGCAGATTCACATCCTACCTCTGACCCACCCCGACTGCGTGACCCAGGGCAAGCTACTAAACAGCACAGTGCCCCAGGCAACTCTCTGAGACCATAACTTTCAGAGCTGGTGCTGATCTACAATGATAGAAAAAATATCCTCATCAGGAGTTCCCCTTCCAAATAATCACAAGTCTAATGGGAAAAAAGTCCTCTCTCACTGATCCAAAAGTGTCCTCCCTGTTCCCATCATCATCAGCATCAAGATTCTAATAATAGAAACTACCATTTATACAATGCTTTCCAGTTTACAAGGTATAACCTCACAACAATTCTGTAAGTTGGAAGTACAAGTATTATTCTCCCCATTTTACAGATGAGGAAACTCAGACTCAGTTAATAAGTTACATGATAGAGCCAAAACTCAAACCCAGCTCTTTTGACTCCATGTCCCATATCCATTCCCCTACCACAGTGTCTGCCAGTTTTATCCTTCCTTCACACTGGAAATCCTTCAACTGTTTCAAATATTAAGTCATTCATTAACCAAAGATAAATACCCACAGCTCTTTCAACCATTCACTTCTCTGATCACTCCTCTCTCGATTAACTGTAACTTATCAGTGTTCCACTGTGGCATCGTCTAAATGTGGTGTTCCAAATAAAACACAACACTCTCTACAATGTACATACGTTACATGAGGTTTTTAGCAGTCTTTTTACACTACTGGCTCACAATGAGTGTAGTCAAATAAAACCGCCAGAGACTTTTCATGTGAACTACTGCCAAACCATGTATTCCCCATTCTATCTGTATGCAATTGTTTTTTAACTTCAACATAGAACTTTTACACTTATGTCTATTAAATTTCATCATCTTCATTTCAATATTCCAGGTACTGAGATCATTTTTAATCATGAAGTTTTATTAGCTATCCCTCCCAGCTTTGTGTCACCTGAAAACTAATAAATTACTCTGTATGTTTTTATACAACTGATGGATTAAAATACTGAAGATGAAAGGGTAAAGGACAAATACTCTTTCTCATAGCCATGACCTTTCCCTCCAGGCTAACAGCAATAGATAATGAAGGATTAAGTGACTTGCCTAAAGTCATATAGCCAAATATGTGTTCAGAATTGATATTTAAACCAGGGTCTTCCTGAGTCAGCTGAATAGCCACTATATTACCTGCCTTTCATCCTTGTCATCTTAGGTGAAATATGGATTGGATGACAGTATTATTCAAAGGTAATAATAATAATAATAGCTAACATTTATGTAGCACTTACTATTTATCACACACTGTAGATGTGTAGCTAAGCAGTTCTATACTTCAAGATATAGCTCTTGACAAACAGATAAACTATAATAAGGGCTGTGACAGATCTGTGATAGGCTACTATAAAAATGTACATTTTAGTGCAAACTTGGCACCTCTGGACCAAAAGCATCGAGTCCAAATCAGACTGAAATGTAATTGGGAAATGTTTAAAAAATAAAAACATAATACAATATAGATAATGTTAATTTATGGTCTTCTGAGTCAATGTATGACCTGAAGAAATCGAGTTTTGGGCTTGTTTGTTTTTTTTTTTTGACACTGCTGCTTTAGAGTATTTGATGGATCAAAATACATCTTACACAAGAAAATTCAAGTGATCACATCCTGTAAATTAATGCTGTATCAACCATTGTTTGAAAATACAAAAAAAGTAATCCAAAAATAAATTTGGTAAACACAATTCTTCACAAGGTAAAGTATACTGCCTTTTAGTGAAATAAATAAGATTGCAATGGAGATTTATTCTTTTCTACATTCCAATATTTAATAATATACCCAAAAATAAAAGGCTAAAGGACTGTATGGCAGGTATTACCATATTTTTATAAGAGCTATTCATGTTTTTCTGCAGGAAAAAACCCACATATTTATAAACTATTATAATGCAACACACTAAACAAACATTATTTATAAGAATAATTAAAATCTTACCTCAAATTTAAACCATTCTGAGTTCCACTGAGGGTTAAGGGACTTATGATACACATCTGTTTTAAATGTTGTGTTACCAAATTTCACCTAAAAGTAAGAAATTGTTGTATTATAATCACATAGAATGTGAATTAAATGTAAATTTTAAAACAAAAAATGAACACTAATCTATAAAGTGGCTTATCTCATGAAGCACACAATTAGTAACATCTAAGTTGAGAAGATATCAAATTAGAAGAATAAAAATGAAGTTATGTTATGCAATCAAAGAAATTCTTAATCAAACAAGTTACTGGTGCTGAAATATGGGAATGGATAAAAGAACATATACGAATAAAAAACATTTCCTAAGGAAGTTTAAACAATGTAAATCACTTGTCACAATGAGCAAAATAAGGAAGTTTAAACAATATAAATCATTTGTCACAATGAGTAAAAGTGCCTAGAAACCACCTAAGACTGTGAAGATATAATCTTCTTGCTAGGCAGGGAACTATGGCAGCCAAGGGCAATACTAGTTTAAAACATAAACTCATTTGTAAAGTCTTACAAAAGACAGTGGAAGATTATGAGTACTATCACTTCATAAAACAACAAGAAGCAATAGGGAGGAAAAAAGTTTACAGAAAGTTTAGCAAGAAAAAAACTGGAGAAACTTAACCTGAATGTAGTAAAGCATATCAGACCTCAAAAAACAGAAGAGATATGTAAAAAGCATTTTCCTCTATCAATGACAACAGGCTCACTACCTGTAGACTCAACATCACAATCTCAGATGTGCTGCTTGAGGAAGCGGAAATGACACCGCAATTTTAAAAAATGGGTCGAGCTGCTGGACTAGACAAAGTAAACAAAGAGGTGATCTATGGAGACAACACAATTTTGAGGGCATTAAGGGACTGGTTCTCAAGTTTTCTGAAAGAAGGAAAGAAAAAAGGCTTGGAAAAAAATCTAGGCTTCAATAGTTAACATAAAAATATGACCAAAAGAAAACTTATATGCATAATTCTCCATATGCATAAAATCTTTATGAAAATAATCTACACATATTCTTGATATAGATGATAAAGGTATGAGAAGGAAAAAGGTAGGCTTTTACAAACCACATTCTAAAATAGAACATATTTTTACAATCAAAATATTGACTAAAAGGAGTAAAGAACGTCAGTTTTTATTGACTTAATCAACAAAGCATTATGTCTTCTATACAGATGTCAATATTATATAATTTGCCCTGAAAAACATAACACGACGACCTCTGATGAGATTCTATATTTTTTTTTTTGGAAAAAAAAAGCAAGGCATAAAACAGACATGTTCAACACAAGGTGACCTGGATGTCCTGAGCAGAAACCAAATGAGAAAGAATTTCCCTATAGATGGCAATATCCACCAGATACTCTTATGTATATGTAAGTACACTGACTGCTTCATGTCCTAGAAAACTGCCAAGTGTCCAAGTGTGATCCACAGTCAGACAATTTAGCCTAACTACCCAACATAGAAAATGCTAAGTGGTTTCAACGCACTGGTTTTCAACAAGCCTTATGCATGTGCAATGTACCAGGTACTGTTCTAGGTACTGTTCTAGGTCCTGAGGAACAAAAAAGGGGGAAAAAAAAGGTCCTAGCCCTTAAGAACTACATAGTCTACTGAAAAACTCCTATTGTTCAAACTATGATACAGAGTTGGATGAACATTCCACAGACCTGGTCCATACATTGTGGACAGACACTGAAAACAGACAATAAGCTGGACATAGAAGAGGAGGAGAGCAGGCTAGATTGCCTTTGGGAAATTGTTTAATGTTTTTGAATGACTCCAATCTTATTGAAACACAGATCATTTCTGGAGAAGGATCTGGAACTATGCCCAAGGGCTATGAAACTGTGCATACCCTTTGACCCAGCAAAACCACTACTAGGTCTGTATCCCAAATAGAATAAAGAAAAAGGAAAAGGACCTATGGGAACAAAAATATTTATTTGTGCTGGCAAAAAATTGGAAACTGAGGGGAATGCCCATTAACTGGGGAATGGCTGAACAAGTATATGACTGTGATGGAATACTATTGTGTCATGAAAAATGATAAGGGGGATGGTTTCAGAAAAACCTCGAAAGACATATATGAATGGATACAGAATGAAGCGGGTAGAAGCCGGAGATCATTGTACACCATTATACACTTTGTATAAAGCAATAGTGTAATGATGATCAACTTCTGCTCTGCTAAAGACTTAGCTAGTTAGCTACTCAATACAATGATCCAAGATATCAAAAGACTCATTACGGAAAATGATATCCATCTCCAGAGAAAGAACTGATGAATTCTGAGTGCAAACTGAAGTATAATTTTTTCACTTTATTTTTCTTGGGTTGTTTTGGGTTTTGTTTTTTTTTTTTTTTTACAAATGGCTAATATGCAAATGTTTTGTTAAGAGTGCCACAATTCTGCCAGCCACACAAATTAGCAACCTAAAAGCCATCCTTGATTCTTCTCTCCCTCAACCTCCAAATCAAATCCACTACCAAGTCTTGTCAATTTTATGTCCACAATATTTCTCCTACCTATCCCCTTCCCTCCATTCAAAGCTCGGTCACTCTAGTTCAGGCCTTCATTACCTCTTGCCTCAATCAGCGAAAAAACCTCCTACTTTCAAACTCTCTGCATCTAGTTTCTTCCTTTTCCAGGCCTTTCCAGACATACTTTCCCAGGAGATATTCCTAAACATAAGTCTGACCATATCACTCCCTTATTAGAAAATCTTCAGTGATTGCTTCTAGGATAAAATACACATTTCTCAACCTACCATTTAAAGCCTTTCCAAATCCTGCTCCCACATACTTTTCCAGTTTTATTTCATATTTATCGCCTTCACACAAAACTACATTCCAATCAAACTAGCCTGCTTATTATTCCCTGAACATCTTCTACCTCCATGCCTTTACACAAGTGATCTCCCTGCACTCCATCCTCACTTCCAGGTTGTAGAATCTCTGCCTTCCTTCAAAACAATTCAAGGGTTATTCCCCATACCAGCTTTTCCTAATATTCATTCCTCTCTTTCCCATATTAGTGCTGTCTCCCATTAGAAATTAATTTGTATCTATACCTGTAGTATCTTCCAGTAGAATGTAAACTCCTAGAGGGCAGAGATGCTAAATCTTTGTATTTTTTTTCTTTGAATCCCTGGTACCTTGCACAGAGCCTAGCATATAACAGGTGTTTAAAAAATTCTTCTTGAACTGAATTGAAAATGTCCCAGACTCTTAATATTACCTTCAGCAAACTATTGCTTTCAGATGATTTGTTTGTAAAGCCCAATGCTAGAAATTTGCCCCTATATCTACAGATGCAGTCCTTAAAGTATGTGGATGATTTATGACATGAATAAAAATGCTACATTAAGATATGAAGTATGAAATAACAACTGTCCTAAAGCATCAATAGCCAAAGGATGCATACTATTGTGCCAAAACTGTGGACATTATTTTCCATTTTTACTTGATTTCTATCAGACTCAGAATTAATTCCTTCAGGGCCCTAGGCCTATGTTAATTTGCATAACTTTTACGGTAATTACTAGTTTGTCGAAAAAAATTGTGCAATTTGAAATGGGTAGTAGCACTTAATTGGTTTCCTACCTTAAGAGAGTAAATTCGCACCCTACAGACCTGCTTAAAAGATCTACTGTCATAAACAAGAGCAGAAAGTATTAGTTACGTTGGAAATGCCCGTGCAGCTTTATTTTGAAGAATGGTTAGTATAAAGAAAATAATCTATTTAAAACCTTGTGATTCTCTAAATTCACACCAGCTTCTAATCGCAAACAACAGCAGTAAGTACCAAAATCTTTAAAACTCTCTATAACATTGACGCGCGCCTTCAAAATGTGCGTACGGTTAAGTGTCTGTGCAGCAAAGCCTAAGTCTACGGACTGGCCAGGTGGATTCGTCGAATGTCCTTGTGTCAGGGTCACACACACAGCATGCAGGGGTGGCCAGGTTTGGGCACTGCAATTCAAAGCTATCCCATGGGCGTGTGCCGGTGTAGACACACCCGATGTGGTCACACTGGAGAAGGGGCAAAGGAGAGCTAGAGCCCGAGGGAGCAAAGGTAGGCAGGAGCCTCCCCCGGATCTGGGGTTCCCTGATGATTTAGGGCAAGACAGAGCACCAACCTCAACGAAGGCATCGGTCAGATCACTCGCTCGGTCCATTACAGGCAAATGGCGCCCGGCCACAATCTTCACCTTCAGCTTTCCGGGCATCTTCGCCGCTCCCGCCGCTCTCCGTTAAGGATCCTGCAGAGACAAACAAGCGCCTGTGCGCCAAGCCCGAGCTAACGGGCGGGGGAGCGTGTGGGGGCGGAGCCACACGGGACTCGCGTGCGCGCGCACGTACGTAACTGACTGAGGAGGAAGGGTGCGCGCGCGTTCTCTGCCAGCCGCTCCTGCCGCCTACCCCTTCCTCCCGCCCCTTCACGCTCTGCGCAGATGCGTGTCGCCTTCCTGGCGCCCCCTTCTTAGGAGGGCAGGAGGGCGCGAATACCACGCCCTCATGTCGGAGAGGCTGTGAGGCAGGCCCAAAATGGTTCCTCCAACAGTGTAAATGGTTCTTTCCAACTGGAAAAGAGACCAGAATTTAATCTAGAACTTGGAGTGAACCTTCACCGGTCCCCACGTTCGTGCCTTCTCGCCCTAGCAAATGGCAGCGCCTCGCGCCAGGTGGGGGAGTTAAAAGATGAGGGGATCGATAAGTCGGTTATCGACCCAAACCTTGAAGACAATCCACCCCAGAGAAGGGCCGGGACCTCGTCCTGCAGAGGTAGACTGGCAGGGGACTAGGACGAGTGCTGAATCATCGAGCTGCGGCTGTGGGAGCGGCAGAAAAGCTTCACCGCGGAACCGTTTCCGAGCCAAATTCTGAAGAGTTCTTGTTAAGACAATTTCCAAATTAATCTGAATTGGTTCAAAGTAAATACTTTATGGTGCGACCTAAAGCCACCAACCTCATTGGCAGTTGTTTCAGTCGTATTAATGTTGTTGAATTAATTTTAGGTAAACTCAGAATCCAGGTCTCAGTCAATCAGTCGTCAACTGCTAAGCGCCTACTATGTGCCAGGTACTATAAAAAGCGCTGAGGGTACCAAGAAAGGCAAAGGATGGTCCCTTCTCTCGAGGAGCTCCCGTAGTCTAATGGGTGAGACAGCTTGCAAACCATTATGTACAAACAGACACACAACAACCGAGGGAAAGCACCAGATTAAGGGAGATAGGAAATGCTTCTTGCAGAAGGTGAGAGTTGAGCAGAGATTTGGAGGAAGCCAGGAGGTGAAGATGGGGGATTCTAGGCCTAAGGGACAGCCTGAAAAAAGCATTCGGTAAGCCGACGATAAGCCAGACACTGTGCTAAGCACTTGTACAAATATCTTATTTAATTCTCACAACAAACGGTCACAGGTATTGTTATATGGTCCCCATTTTACAATTAAGGAAACTGAAATAGACTTGTCCAAAGTAACACAGCTAGTAAGTATCTGAGGTTAAATATGAACTCAGGTTTTTCTGATTCCAATCCCAGCCGTCTAGCCACTTCCCGTTCTAGCTGTAGTCCAGAAAGAAGAATGTCTTATTAGAGGAACAGGTAAGAAACCAATGTCACTGAATCTCAGGGGGATGAAAGAAGATTGGAGAGATGGGGAGGGGTCAGGTTATGAAAGGCTTTATATTTCATCTGGAGGTATTAGGAACTACTGCAGTTTATTGAGCAGAAGGGGACATGTTCAGACTTTAAGAAGGTCATTCTGACAATTGAATGAAGGATGGAGTAGAGCAGGGAAGGATTCAGTGGCAGGGAGATCAATCAGCAAGCTATTGCAATAATCCAGGTGTGAAGTGATGAGGGCGATGGCGCAGTGTCAGAGGAGAGAAAAGAGCATATGTAAGAAATGTGAAGGTAAAATCTACAGGCCTTGGCAACATATTAGATATGGGATGTGAGAGAGTAAGGAGGATGACACTTAAGTTGCTGAGCCTAAGGGACTGGGAGAATGGTGGTAACCTCACCAGTAGACTGTTTTACTGAAGCATTTTAGTGGATCCAACTGTTGGTCAATCCTTCCATCTATGTAGATCCCAACCCCTCCACAACTCCCCATCAGGATGATTGTGTTCCATGCTTTCCCATAAGTCCTCCCTAAAAGATTTACCAAATGCAGTATATCTAATGTATCTGTGAGTCCTAGTTCAGTACTGTGGCTGTCTTTCTTTTCCTTCCCTCCAGCTCATACTTGGTCCACCACCTTGATTGTGCCTTTCAGTGATGATGTTGCTTATGAATTTTTTTTGTGCCTAAGACACTTCTGGTAATAATCTGCAACTTAGACTTATCATGCCCTTCTCCATTATCCTTTTGGTCACTTGCATTTTCCAGGCTTCAGAAAATTGTGGTACTCAGTGAGTCACAGACTGTTGGGGGGAAATAGGAACTACAACTATTTCATATCTTGATGGACTAAAAATGTAGAAATACCTCCAAACACCTGGTGGTCTAAAAGTGGAAAGTAACCAGAAATATAACAAACTATGTAGATAATCTCATCTACTTGTAACAACTATTTGTTGTCCTTGGATAAGACACCTGCAGTCTTGTCTAAATGGTTATCTCATCCCGGCAGTTGTGTCTAAAAGAACATCTTTCACAATTGTAAAAGTATTTATTCTCTTCCCCTTGAACAGAGAATGTCTTCTCATTCCAATAACAAACCCTGCCAACTACATGACAAAAGCTTCCCTTTTCTGCCTTGAATGATTCTCCCTTTCTTTACCTTCCCTCTCCTATGAAAGGTGTGATTTATCTATCCTAAGTTGCTGAAGAATGTTGCCAATTGTCTATGTACTCTAAATGGACCTAAAAAGTTATAAAAAACAAAACAATACACCTAAATCTGTCCCTCAGAAAGTTAAAGCTGCTATCAATAATTTCCTTAGCATGATAATCATTGGAATCCCCATATGATAGGTACACCTTTCCCAAGAGGTCTCATTCCTTTCTATCTAGAAAATTCCCCCAACAAATCATTGGGTGAACACTATTCATATAAAGATGGGACTTTAGGAAGACAGCTTGAGATAAAAATTAAAGACTCTAGGTGTTTTGCCAAAAGCAGTCCAGTACATTAAATTGAAAAGGTTTTGCACAAACTAAGATTAGAAGGAAAGTAGAAAATTGGAGAAGAATTTTTACAACCAGTCTCTCTGATAAAGGCCTCATTTCAAAAATATATAGAGAATTAAGTCAAATTTATAAGAATACAAATCATTCCCCAATTGATAAATGGTCAAAGGATATGAACAGGCAGTTCTCAGATGAAGAAATTAAAGTCATCTATAGTCATATGAAAAAGTGCTCTAAATCACTATTGATTAGAGAAATGCAAATCAAAACAACTCTGAGGTACCACATCACATCTACCAGATTGGCCAAGATGACAAGAAAATGATAAATGTTGGAGAAGATGTGGGAAAATTGGAACACTAATGCATTGTTGGTGGAGTTGTGAAATGATCCAACCATTTTGGAGAGCAGTTTGGAACTGTGCCCAAATGTGCATACCCTTTGACCCAGCAATAGCACTTCTAGGGCTATATCCCAAAGAGATCATACAAATGGGAAAAGGACCCATGTGTACAAAAATATTTATAGCAGGTCTTTTTGTGGTGGCAAAGAATTGGAAATTGAGAGGATGCCCTTCAATTGGAGAATGGCTGAGCAAGTTGTGGTACATGAATGTAATGGAATACTATTGTGCTATAAGAAATGATGAACAGACTGGCTTCAGAAAAACCTGGAAAGACATGTATGGTCTGATGCTGAGTGAAGTGAGCAGAACCAAGAGAACATTGTACACAATAACACTGTGAGATGACTAATATTGATAAACTTAACCCTTCCCAGCAATACAAGGATCTAAGACATCTTCAAAGGAGATGTGATGGAAAATACTATCCACATCCAAAGAAAGAACTATGGAGTTTGAATGCAGATCAAAGCATACTATTTGCTATTTTTTTTCTTCTGTTGAGTTTTGTTTCCTCTTTCTGGTGGTTCCTCCTATTGGTTCTAATTCTTACTTACGACATCAGTAATGTGAAAATATGTTTAATAGGAATGTATATGTATAACATATCAGATTGTGCGCTGTCTTGGGGAGGGTGGTGGGGAGAAAGGGGAGAAAAATGTTAAACTCAAAAGCATATAGAAGTGATTGTTGACAATTCAAAATAAATTAATTAAAAAGAAAAAAAAGCAATCCAGTTTGCTCTCTTTCTTAAATTCTGCTGTGGGTAAAATGCTATTAAATAGCACTGCATGCTACAGAGAAATCTTTCATGAGGGAAGAGTCAAAATGTGGGAATATGTTTACATGATTACACATGAATAGCCTATATCAGATTGCTTACTGTCTTGGTTAGAGAGGATGGAAGAGAGGGAGGGAAAAAAAAAATTGGAACTTAACATTTTATTTAAAAAATGAATGTTGAAAACTATCTTCTTTATATGTAATTGGAAAAAATAAAATATTATTTCCAAAAAAAAAGGGTCTATTGATGAGGCAAACTTCATTGTTGTCTTATGTTAAGAAATTGCCACAACTACCCCTATCATCAGCAACCACCATCCTGATCAGTCAGCAGCCATCAACATCTAGATGAGACCTTCCACCAGCAAAAAGATTAGAATTTGCGGAAGGCTCAGATGATGGTTAGCATTTTTTTTTTTTAGCAATAAGGTGTTTTTAAATTAAGGTATGTACATTTTTTTAGCTATAACACCATTGCACATTTAATAGAATACAGTATAGTATAAACATAACTTTTATATGAACTGGGAAACCAAAAAAAACTTTATTGTGATAGTCACTTTATTATGGTGGTCTGAAACCGAACCCACAATATCTCTGAGGTATTCCTATACATACTTCCGTATATCAGTTCTTTCTGTGGAACATTTTAAGTCCTTCATAGTTGATTTGAATGATCATATCATTCAAAACAGCTTAATCATTCACAGTTACTCTTTGAACATTATTGTTGTTAACTGTATACAATGTTGTCTCGGTTCTGTTCATTTCACTTTGCATTATTTCATGCAAGTCTTCCCATGTTTTTCTAAAACCGACCTGCTCATCATTTCTTATAGCACAGTAATATTTCATCACAATCATATACCATAATTTATTCAGTCATTCCCCAATTGATAGGCAACCCCTCACTTTCCAGTTCTTTGCCACCAAAAAGAGAGCTGCTATAAATAGAACATATAAGTTCTTTTCCTTTTTCCCTGATCACCTTGGGAAACAAACCTAATA